ATTACAGATCCCTGGCTAGTTGCTGCTTGTAAACAAACCAGGTGATCTGTCATTTACAAGAGGCATTCAAACCAACAAGTGACATTTCCTCTCTGACTTCTGTTTGCAAACAAGCCAACAGGGAACCTGTTGAACATCAACTGGATGGGGACATAGCAACTTGTTTACCACTTCTAAGTAGTGGCTGGTAAAAGTCACTGGAAGCAGTGATTGCCATAGCAGGGGGTCAACATGAGTATTCATGTGAATTACATTAATCTTCATTGCTTGACATCTGGCATTGGATTTGCATTGTGAAAACTAATAAATGCCAACATTGTGGGTTTATACAGTATTTTTACTATTTACATGACTTTGTGATTAACAAGGTACTCATTACAGAGGGAAGGATGGATATCTAGATCATCCCTTATTCTAAAGAAGGCATTGGAACCTAGGCAAGTGACATTTCCTCATACTATCCCCGTAAGGGATGTTGGGGTCATTAGGGATGTGGATTCTGGAAGCCCCCTTTAAAATAAGGCCCCCCAGATATCTGCCCCCCCCCCCACATGGAGGACTAGTGGGTACCTAACAAAAAGAGAGTGAAACCGCCACACTGTTGAAAAATTTCTTTATTTACAAAAGAAATAAAATAACAATGTCCCATGATGTAAATCCAATCGTCAATCAGGTTGTTTAATAGTGTAGATCCACTTCAATCACAATAACCTGACATTGTCAAGGCTGCCCCATCACTACGTCCATTGCAAATGAAAAATCTCTATTGCTGCTGAAATGCAAACACATCAGGTAGAATCCTGGGTGATGTCATTGTTAAGATATGGTGGATCCCTGGTGATGTTGTTTACATTCCAGCAACACTGGGGATAAGTCATGTCATTTAGTGGTGGCAGTGCTACCATCACTAAATTATAGACTTCTAGCTGATTCAAACATAGGTTGAAGATGCAGGCCTAATATAGTCAGTTTATTCACCTGTTCGCTGAACTGTGGACATGCTGAAGTCAGGTCGAATTCATCCCTAGCTGTGATTTAGGACTGAGTTGAGTATAAGAAGATACCTTGGAGCAGATCCACTATCTGTGCATCATTATGCTTGGAATATCACAGCTTTCAAAATTTTCATATTTGGTGGATAAGTAGAATTTAGTCATTCTGTCCGGAGGGAAGTGCCATGAAAATAGTACATTTTAAGAGTTTGCAGTGCAATAACATTCAGCTCTTAGTTGTGTGAGTCCAGCACAGATATGTTCTTCTTTAGGTCCTCCTCCTCAGACTCTGGTCTGATAAGAGAGGAGTACAGTGAGGATATAAGATGTGGAAGGTCAGGGTCATGTAGGCAATGGTGCTCAAAATCAGTTAAAGTCAAGTAGAAGCGTTTTTGCCTTATCCATTATGCTATATAGCATTTAGGAGGCAGGTAGCTGAAGATTTCATTGCTGGGGGTGCTTTGTTTTAATTGCAGAGGTGATAAAAGGGTTTAAAGTGGTACTAAAGTCTAGGTGTTTTTTTACCATAATTAATTTCCTGCATTAGGGAAAAAAACACCTGAGTCCTTTTTTTGATCCAGCGCTTCTCTCTCTTCCTAGTCTCCCAGGAGACTCAGATGACAATGGGAGCCATTGGCTCTTGCTACTGTCAGTCAAATCCTGTGAGAAAGGAGCGGAGACATGGCTACGTCACACTGTGTGCTTATGGATGTACAGTATGGTTGTGGGGAGTATGCCTGCATGGGTGCCCCCAAAACACATGGCTTGCCGAGGTGCCATCATAGCACACAGCTTGCAGGAAGCAGAAGCAGAAGCAGACACTGCTGGTGGAGGCAAGGGACAACTCTGTGCATTATCATTGCACAGAACAGATAAGTCTAAGTGCTGTTTTATATTAATGAAAACAAATTTGTCTTTAGAACCACTTTAACTACACTAACGTTAAGGAGATTATATGCACAGGTGAAGCAATTATTATATTATGTTTTTTTTTTTTGGGTGGCAAATGATTAGCAATCCTAGTAGGAGTTGAGGGAAATGAGGCTCCACTTATTATAAAACTCTAATCTAATTAGGAGTGATATTGTACAACAGATGATGTTACTAGTCTTTGTGAAGGAGGCATTAAAATTAAATAGACTACAGAGACTGGGTGAGAGATGGTTGCATCTATCAGAATCTACTGTATAACAGTGATTCATCCTGGGCATAGAGATTCACTACTGGGGCTATTTAGCCATATAAGTGATATTTTAAATATTGAGCTCCACAACCTTCCATTTCACTTTAATCACTAGAATTGTTATCAGTAAAGACAACCAATTTATTGACATTTTCTTCAGAGGCTGCTTGGACAACATGTATAACTTTGTATCAAAAATGTAGTTATCCCTCTACAGTAATTCATCAGATGAATGTTCCTAAGTATATTCATGCCTTTCCAATGCCTAGACAAGTGACCAAGGGATTGGTCACATGGTCTCTTCTAGAAGACCTTGGGAGACAGAGTTGACCAGTCAGTAGTAATGGCTAAACAATCTCTCTTTTTGGAGGTTTTGCAGTGTCCTAAATTTAGAATAGCCAAGACACAAAGATCATATTTTTGGTTATGCCATTCCCTATTTATGCCATAAATAGCACTTATATTTTATTAAAATGGTATTTATGTTCAATTAGCCTATTTTATGGTCATTCCAATGCAACATCGTGTTATTTTGTTATTTTTGAATGTATTTCCTGTATTTTGTATTTGTCCAATGTAAGAATGTAATGTGTATGCATGGGGGAATAGTAATCACTCATTCATCTCACACCACATTTTTATGTCAGTGTTTGGATAATAGTCACTGGATCAGAATGCCAAAATATGATTTTTGCTCTGTAGCAGCATCTGGATATTTGGCAGTATTTTCAGCTAGTTTCATTGGTGGCTTCAAGCTTTCCTTCACATCTGTCGGCTACTGATGAACAATTTTTTTCTGGGCAGATTTTTAATGCAATATATCTTTGGCAAAGTTCAAGCGTACTCAAGAGAAGTTTGACATTTTTATGTTTTTCCTTATCTGAAATTGCTCTCTCTAAAACATTTTAAATCTCTTTAAATTTAAATCAATCTTCAGAAAGGAATGATTTGAAACATTCCTGGTCTTTGCGATCATGGCAGAAACTGGCTGCTGTAGACTGAACAAGATCAATTCAATTATATTCATCTCCATCACCAATCATTAAACAATGCTAGATTTGCATTCTGTTTCAATTTCACCATTTCAATGTAAGTAATGTGCCTGCTTCAAAAGTCAACAGATTGAATGAACTCAAGTCTATGATTTGTTAAAATTACAGATGTCTCTAACAGACAATAAAAATCCCTTTGAGTTTTGCTGCAGTGTCTCCATGCATGAGTCAGTCTGTATATGAATATGTATTGTACCAAAAGGAGACAAGGAGAAATATATATATATATATATATATATATATATATATATATATATATATATATAAAAGAAAAAAGACATGTAATGTTTTGCAGAAATCAAATGTACCTAACAGGATCGTTTGGTGAAGATTTTGGGGGGACTTCCTGCTTTTTTTTCCTGTGTTTTTTTTTCTGCGGTTCCCCCTTAAATTAAGTTTTTTTGTGTGTTTGGAGTCCCAGTTAAAATCTTTACCAGACCTGGCTGGGTGGGAATGAGTCATGGTTATTAGGATGCTTGTGGCTGCTTCTCAGCTTCTTAACACTCAACTTGAGGGTAAGCTGTCACATTTAGCAGTGGTAGTAATACTGCAAATGCATCACTTCTTGCTGCCTCCAAAGATTTGGCTTCGCCAAACACCAATTTATCTCAGCTGTTTTCCGAATCTCCGTTCATCCCTAGTAGTTAACAGTAATGTACAGTAGTACTATAGATCAGCAAGCAAATGCAAAATGAACCCAAAACATAATATGTTATGTCAAGTAAGTAACTAAAATCAACTGTATATAAAAAAAAGAATAACTTTTGTTTTAGCTACTATGCCAAAATTTTAGAAAGCATGCTACCAATATTATTGGAACATATATACTACTAACAATAAAAATGTACAATAACTATAAAAGGCAATTCTGCCACCTATGACCAATTTGCCTTCAGCAAGTCCAGTTCTTAGTGTAAATGCCTATTGTAATTTGTAAGTATTATGGGAAAGGGAGAATCAACCCAAATCATTTTCTACCTATATGCAGAGTTAAAATTACAGTAATGGAACAAAAAGTTTATTTTCAGAAAACAAATTAGGCTTCCACTATACCATATGCTTCTCTATACAAAACCACAAACTGGAGAAAGGTGGTACTCCATAAACTTGGACTTTACAGGTACATGAGACAGGCAAAAATTATAAAAATATATAGTTTATTTCTATCAATTAAAATAGCATAACACCCTAAAAAAACCCTATATTGGGGAAATACATAAATATCACCCAAAAGGGATTGGAAGTAGACACCTATCTGTTATAATAGTTATACAGTTACAATCTTCAATAGCAGTAGCATGTATGAAGTTATCGTTTCTGGATCCAGCATCAACATGTTTTGCAACGGAAGTCACTGAGAGTGAAAAATGTGCTCACATTTCATCAGGTGGTAGAGCAGCTGTGCAGTACAGAGGTCCAGGGGGTAAACACAGGGGTCCATGATAACCTTAACATCCAGAAACCATCAAAGAAGGATGCCAATGAATTGAATGAATTGCCAATGAAATCCACACCTTACAATAACATATAATAAATGAGTATATCATCATTGCTCCACAATATACACATGTATCTCAATACTTACAAATTGGGGCTGGAGAGGCTTCTTGAGAAGAGACACTTGCAAATATCCACCATGTAAAAAATTCCCTAACCTCATTAGGCTCAGGCATAATACAAAAAAAAAAAGTGTGTGTGTGTATGTGTGTGAAACAATTGTCATATCTGTGGATGACAAACACAAAGGCATTCTGGTAGTAAACCCTAAAAAAACAAATACATCTGCATTTACGCTATATTGCCAAAAGTGTTGGGACACCCCTTCAAATCTTTGGATTCAGGTATTCCAATCACCTCCATGGCCACAGGTGTATAAAATCAAGCACTGAGGCATGCAGACTGCTTCTACAAACATTTGTGAAAGAATGGGTCGCTCTCAGGAGGTTAGTGAATTCAAGCATAGTATAGTGATAAGTTGCCACCTGTGCAATAAGTCCATCAGTGAAATTTCCTTGCTACTAAATATTCCACGGTCAACTGTTAGTTGTAATATAATATTATATATTCCATGGCCGAGCAGCTGCATCCAAGCCTTACATTACCAAGTGCAATACAAAGCGTCAGATGCAGTGGTGTAAAGCACTCTGCCACTGTGCCCATCAGTGCTGCCTCATCAGTGCCCATCAGAGCAGCCTCATCAATGCACATCAGTGAACAAAGAAATTACTTATTTGCAAAATTCTATAACAGAAACTAAGAAAAAATTTTTTTTTTTAGCAAAAATGTAAAAACCCAGTGGTGATCAAATACCACCAAAAAAAGCTCTATTTATCTAAAAAAAATTATAAAAATTTCATATGAGTACAGTGTATAATGACCGCGCACTTGTCATTCAAAATTCAACCGCACTGAAAGCTGAAAAAATTGGCCTTGGTAGGAAGAGGGTGAAAGTGCCCCAGTACTACAGTGGTTAAATTAACTAATATCATCAGAACAGAAAGACAGTTGAAGTTTTTAGCACCTTTAGGGGTCATTAAAATGAAGAACTTTTTAACCTCATTGCAAAACACCTATGGCAAGCCCACTGAGGTAAAAATAGATGGGTTAGAAGTAATGGGGATATACAGACTCTGTGAGGCTTATTTACTAAAGAATTTGAGAGTGTTAGATCATTACATTGGCTGTCTATGTCTCATGCCCGTTTAATGCTGCCACTAACCAGTTGAGCCTTTCCCTTTACAAGTTATGTACACTATATTGCCAAAAGTATTGGGACACTCCTCTAAATCATTGGATTCAGGTGTTCCAATCACCTCCATGACCACAGGTATATAAAATCAAGCACCTAGGCATGCAGACTGTTTCTACAAATATTTTTGAAAGAATGGGTCGCTCTCAGGAGCTCAGTGAATTCAAGCGTGGTACCATGAAAGGTTGCCACCTGTGCACTAAATCTATCTGTAAAGTTTACTTGCTACTAAATACTCCACAGACAACTGTTAGAGGTACTATAACAAAGTGGGAGAAACTGGGAACTACTCAGTCACCAAGTGGTAGGCCACGTAAATTGACAGAGCGGGGTCAGTGCATGCTGAAGCGCACAGTGAGCAGAAATCGCCGACTGTCTGCAGATTCAATAGCTAAAGACCTCCAAACTTCATGTGGCCTTCAGATTAGCACAACAGTGCGTAGAGAGCTTCATGGAATGGGTTTCCATGGCCAAGCACCTGCATCCAAGCCTTACATCACAAAGTGCAATGCAAAGCGTCAGATGCAGTGGTGTAAAGCACGCCGCCACTGGACTCTAGAGCAGTAGAGACGTGTTCTCTGGAATGACTTATCACGCTTCTCTGTCTGGAAATCTGATGCACATGTCTGGGTTTGCCAGTTGCCAGGAGAACGGTACTTGCCTGACTGCATTGTGCCAAGTGTAAAGTTTGGTGAAGGGGGGATTATTGCGTGGGGTTGTTTTTCATGGGTTGGGCTTAACCCCTTAGTTCCAATGAAGGGAACTCTTAAGGCATCAGCATACCAAGACATTTTGGACAATTTCATGCTCCCAACTTTATGGGAACAGTTTGGAGGGTGGCCCCTTTCTGTTCCAACATGACTTCGCACCAGTGCACAAAGTAAGATTCAAAAAGACATGGATGAGCGAGTTTGGGGTGGAGGAACTTGACTGGCCTGCATCTCAACCAGATAGAAAACCTTTGGGATGAATTAGAGTGGAGACTGGGAGCCAGGCCTTTCTGGTCCGACATCAGAGCCTGATCTCACAAATTCGCTTCTGGAAGAATGGTCAACATTCCCATAGACATTCTCCTAAACCTTGTGGATAGCCTTCCCAGAAGAGTTGAAGCTGTTATAGCTGCAAAGGGTGGGCCAACTCAATATTGAACCCTACGGACTAAGACTGGGATGCCATTAAAGTTCATGTGCGAGTATAGGCAGGCATTCCAATACTTTTGAGAAATATAGTGTATATATGCATCCACATGTACCACCATATACTCACTTAGAATGTAATCCATGGGGGCTATGGTTAGATAGTAGTGCAACAGGTTAGCCATACACATGAACCAGTCCTATGTCTCTGAGCAAGATGCGCCTCAAGTATGCTTAAACCCAGATCATCTGCTACCTATGAGCATAGACTAATATAAAATATTGCCCAATACAGTCCTCCATCTAATAAACTCTAGATCCATACACAGCACATACAGCAAGATTACATTATCACCCTCACTGGTTTCCGATGGTGGCCAGGGGCGGAATCCTGCTGTGGGGGTAATTATGGGGATAATATGTTCGGTCCATCATGGTGGCTACAATGCAGGAATGAATACTTCCAAGGGGCCTAGTTGTAACAGGTGAGATTATTAGCACGCACACATGGCAGTAGAGTCTAGATTCCTTCACTAAACAGTCTGTGGATGTTGTTATTTTAGATCTTGGGCATCCTATATATGCACAACCTAACATCTATTTGTGCCAACTGCCTGATGCACCTTTGAGGAGTTTATTATAAGGTAGGTTTTTTTGTTGGATGAAGGACAATATTGGGCAATACTTTATTTTACTCTATATAAATATCCTTTTGATTATGTGATCTAAGTAAGGGCGGCTGTTTTGCCATGATCAATACTTCTTAAAACATGGATATTTTTTTTATGTGGTCTAAAGAATAGGAATTTGTCAGTTTGTTTATAAACTGAGAAGCCCAGGCAGCATTCCAGGTTATTTTTGATTTATTGTACCGGTTATATAAGGCAGAAAATAGGGTTTAATGCTAGACACATTACAATATCTGTGTGGTTTCCTTTACATTTACTAAAACTTACAATGTGAGGGCTTACCTATACAATTTATTCAATTTGTATCCAAAAGCTTTTGTACTAAATAGTTACAGATAGATCATAAAATCACATTTTAACATGTATAGGCAGCTTTAGGGTTGAGGTAGTGTTAATTCACAGCTTACAGTTAAAGATAGGATTGGGTTAACATACCTTAGAACTTGACAATGAAGGACACTACAGGGAGAAGTTGACCTGCTGTGTGTGTAGCATGCCATGGCAAAAGTGCATGTGGTCAAATTACACTAAATATTGGGTGTGGCTTAATAGTCTGATTAGAAACAACAAATAAACACAGCTTGGCAATTATCCCAAATTAAATTCACCCACTGTACACTCTGACCCACCACCCCCTCTGCTTACTTTTCTTTTTCCTGTACACATTATCCCCCTTTACATACTGCCTCCTCCCTTTTCACAATTCACCCATTTTCCCCATCTCCGCTCATTTTTCACACTATCGCCCTCTCTGTACACACTGCCCCACTCCCTTTTCACACTGTCCATCTGTAATCATTGCCCCCCCCTTTTTTTCTTGTACGCACTGCCCCATCCCTTTTCAAACTAACTCCATCCCTGTACACATGGCTTCTGCTCCCTGTACAGACTGATATCCTTCATGTTCACATTGCCTCTTCCCATGTTCACACTGCCCCTTCCCTGTACACATTGCCCTCCACTGTGTACACCTTACCCCTCTCCCTGCACACACTACCCCCCCTACACATTGCTCCCCTGTAGGGCACCCAGTAGCTAGGAAATTGAAGTGATTGTTATTCAGCCTGGCAAAAGCTAAAGCAGATTGTGCACCAGGACTCCCTGCATTCCTGTACAGCTTGTGCACTGATCTTTCTGGTGCTTGCCTGGTTTTGTTGACACAATTAATAAAACACATTTAAAATTGCCATTACATACTTTATGCTTTTGTGCACACTAAAAATAGAACAAGAACTAGCACTTTATCTAAGCTTACCTTAAAGAAGAACTTCATTAAAATAGTCTGAGACTACTTAGCACCCAACAACTGTTGAGACAATGAACACCTTGGTGAGTATGTAATATGCATTATAGTGGGGCGCATGCACAGCAATCCAAGATGGTGGACACATTTCCCAATGCTCCGTAGTGACTTTGCCCTTTCAGTCTCCCACTCCAATTACATCATCTTTCATTAGTCTTGGAGACCAAGTTTGTTCCTCTTTTCATTCCGCCACACCAAATAAGTAAAATTGGGTGCCAGAAACCTCTCCCATCCAGCGTCCCTGGCCTCCATTTTGACAGACTCCCTGATTATGCCGAGAGCAGTGATCCTGCTTATACCAGTGATTCCACCTCTCCGCTGCCTCATGTGCCTTATCTCACCGTGGAGGTGCTAGACGTCAAATTGCCGGTACTGTTGAGGAGCATTACTCGATCCATATCTATAGAGGTTGGCAAAATAGTGCAGGAGTTGCAGGGAGAGATAGCTCAGCTGGGCGAGCGCACAGATCATCTAGAAACAAAATTTGATGATCTAATCCGTATATTCAGGTTTTGGAGTAGGAGAATCATTCTCTTAAGCACAATGTTTCAATACTGCAACAAGAAGACCTTGAAAATAGTGAACACTGCCGTAACTTGCACAATCATGGCATTCCGGAAACAGTGGGGGACACAGATCTTAGATCTTATCTATTGGGCTTACTGTATTTGTCACCCTGGCACCAACCATTCCGGAGATGGTTGTTGATTGGATCGTGCATATAGAGATTGGTTCATGTACATAGATCCCTGGGCCCTACTCCACCTTCTGGGGATCCTCTATTATGACAGCAAGGAATCCTTACTGATCCAAACCCATAAAAGGGTGATAAATTTCAGATCTTCACTGACCTGTCCCCTTTAATTTTAAACAAGAGACGTCTCCTATGTCCTATTATGATGCATCTGCAGAGACATTGTGTGCCTTACTTCTTGGGATTTCCATTTTAACAGTGAAAAAGGATGGCACCCAACACAGCATCAGGGGTTAAAGCTCTGGGACTACTACCTCTTCCAGATGATGCTTTCCTACAGCCCTTTCTCAACGCTCGTCCATTCTCCATTCCAAACAAGATCTGAACAACTGCTAAATCCAAGGTGAGGAAACACCCTCAGGCTCTCTCTCTCTCAAGCATCTCCTCTACAACCACCTACTTGAACTACTTGTGTATCCTGCAGAGATCTTTACCTCCTCCTTTTTAGTTCATGATGGTTGTTGTTGTTCTGACACCCAATGCACCTTTTACATGTTCTGTTTTCCTCCCCTTTTTAGGTCAGGTTAATATACACATTACCATGTGGTTTCTATTTGGAATTTATTATATTACTGTTTATTTATTTTTTCTGAAAAGGCAATACCTGTATTGTGTTTTGATTGCCACCATGTACCCCCATGGGTTCTATGGTTTTATCTGTGGACTTCTGAGATCCTGGCTGATCTCAGGTTTATACTTGTTTATGTTGTTGTTCATACAGCCCCTTTAGACCATAAGTCCCTCCCTTTAGATTATAAGCTCCATGGGCAGGGCCCTCCAATTCCTTCTGTATCAAACTGTATTGTAATTGTACTGTCCCCCTTATATTGTAAAGCGCTGCGTAAACCGTTGGTGCTATCCGGTATAATAATAATAATAATAATATGATCTCTCCTCACCACAGTTTAGTTTTTTTCACCAGCTCGTAGGATGTACTTGAGGCTTGACCAGTTTTTCATCTCTCCTCCTTTATTGCAATTCTTATTTTCTTCTGAAATAGAGAATATTACTTGTGCTGATCACTCGCCTGTCTTGCTAGAAGTACTGTTGGCTAATTCATCCCCACAATCTTGTCATTGGCGTCTAAATAAGACTCTTTTTTCTCACACAGCCTCTCGAGGCCCAACTAACCCAGGCGCTAAAGAAATACTTTACTCTCAGCACAGGTTTGGTCACTACAGTATCTACTCTATGAGAGATCCATAAGACTTTTGTAAGGGGGGCAAAGCATTTTGCATTGCTGTGCATCTTAAAAAAGATACAAATCATGTGAAAAGTGCTATTCTTAAAAACTTGTGCAGAGCAGAAGATATACTCTTTATGTCCCCAACAGTTTCCCATCTGAGGGAAACAGTCCAATTACACAATCAGCTTAAGGCACTCACCATTTCTAAAATTGAGAAGCAAT